TTATCAATATTGTTTATTATGTCATATTAGATGAATTGTGATAGATAAGTAAGCTGTAGAGTTGATATTAGGGAAATTATTGAAGTATTTTATGGTGCCTAGTTTTTGGTGTGAATAAAAATTTTGTTAATAAAAAAATACAATGGAATTCATCTGTAAAGCCTGGAAACGTAACTAATAAATACAGGAAATGTATAGCGGAAATCAAACATTTCTGCTACTTTGAGCTCTATTTGAAACTATTTTCAGTACTAAAACCAACCAAAATCATCTCAAACGGTTAAACTTGTTCTCAGGGTTGAAGAATTAAAAAAAAAATTATACATGTATATTCTTATGAAATTATAAAGAACATTTTTCCAAAGGTAATGAAACCAAAAGTACGAAATTTGATGGAAAACTTGCAGAACTGTGCTCTCACAGGTCTTGGTGATATTTATGCACCAGCAATTTTGCCCTTTTGAGCCCTATTTTCGGTAAATTCCATTGTTCCAAACTCATAGCTACAGCCTCTCCTCACTTAACGACAGAGTTCAGTTCCTAAGACAATGTTTGTAAACGAATTCACTGCTAAGTGAGAAGCATACTATAATGGTAGTGGGTTTGGGTCAACCATCTTTGACATTGTTTTTAATCCTTTCACTGTCAAGACCACTGCTCGCAAACGTGCTCTCAGTGTCAAAAAAAAAATCCTTACCAAAATCTCAAGAATATTTTTCTGAGTGTTTAAAAAAATTGCAATCAGTACTTACTGAGAAACAGAGGCGTGAAGTTGACAAAAAGCGAGCCGCTGACAGCAACATCAGCAACTGCCACTAACTTGGTAATATTTTTATTTTTGTTCTATTTTCTTCTATTTTTTAATATTTTACTAACAAAATTTTGTGGCCTGTAAGACCAATATAATGTGTAATGTATATAGATCCACTCATTGTATACAACACAATAACCACACAAATATTATCATTATATTGTTTACAAAACTTGTTTACACAAACCAACAATAAAAAAAGTTATTTATTACTATTGTTCTATATTTATATACATAGTCACTGGACATGTTCCTTTGAAACATGGTGTGATGCTCAGTGGTTTTACAGTCCTCACACACAAAACGAATGTCTCTGCGTTTTTGTGGGCGTTTGTTGTACGTGCACAGACAAAACACCTCTTCTGAGCAAATTTCTTCTTAGTAGGAGGTAGTTGTATTAGATACTGATCACCAGGCCTCAAACGAGAGGGTATATGGTGATAAGTTCGTAGGCGGTTTTCTATTCCAGGTGTTGTTACTTAGTACTTGGCTATTTGTCTGATGACCAACAAACAAAATTCGCCATATGGTGGTTTGCTTCTGGTCCTTGTCTTATACATATTATAAGCATTGAGTATGGAAATGTCCACAAGATGGAAAAAGTTTCATGTACCACTTAAAACTCTTGTGAACACAATCAGCAAACCCAATTTGTATGTCACATTTGTCCACTGAAAGCATGTTGAGGGTGTAGTCCATCACAGCTACAGGTTTTAGAATGGGTTCATTGGTGTCTCTATTCTGCCTGCCACTGTCATTTCGTTTTCGTGAATTGATGTCAACAATGTGACATCTCGTTTGTCATGCCACCGAAATGCCATGATGTCACTGGCAGCAAATGCCTGCACCTCACCTCTGAGTGCCTGCATTGAACCTGGACATATGCTTACAATTAGCATACACTGTACTGCACACATCTGTCACGTTCACTTGCAAAAAATCACTGAGTAAGGGCTTTACCAGTTATAAGTATATAATGTATGCCCCTTACCAAGATATGGTTACATCGTTGTTCTGACCACATCATCGGAGATACCCAATAACTTCCTGGTATCTTGCAATTTATTACTTTCAGTGTACACAATTATATCCAAGACCATTGTAACAATCACAAAGTACAAACAACTTTACACCAAAGCATTTCCTCTTGGTACATACTGCTTGAACAACAGTCTACCTTTGAACAAAATCGAAGACTCATCAATAACAAGCTTTCTGAAGGGATAAAAATACATAAACACATTCCTAATCTTATATAACCTGTCATTTTTGTCAGGCCTAGTTTTGTCTGAGAAGTGTAGCATGCATCACAGTGACAGAAATCGATTCACTGGTATTATATCACTGAAAGTTGGGGGTGAAATCAGGCGGTCTGTCGACCAGTATGATGCGACAGTGTGGTTATAGATATTTGGCATAAGCATTGTTGTGGCAAGGAACAGATACATCTCAGCCACAGTTGTCTCCTTCCACTGGTGTAGGCATGATCTTGGTGAAATTATTTTGTTTGCTATGGTGTAATCAAAGTATGTGTTACTTTCCCTGACAATAATTTCCATTAGGGGCTCATCAAAGAATAACAAAACACTGTAGTTCAGTGGCATTGCTCCCAAGTGTACAAGATAGTCGTATTCCACTTTGAGTTTCATCTAAGACTAAGTGATGGGGATTGGAAACAAAACTGGTACCCTGCTGCCAATCCCAGATGCAGTCTGCTGGTGGGTACTGGATATTGACAGGTGGTTGTGGTTGTGCAGGTTGTTGTGGTCGTGCAGGTTGTTGTGGTTGTGCAGGTGGTTGTGGTTGTGCAGGTTGTTGTGGTGTGTGGGTGGTTGAGGGTGGCCTTTGTTGTGGATGTGCTGCGTCAGTGGTGTGGCTTCCAGCATGGGGTACCACTGGTGCCGCATGATGAACAGCACCACCACCACCTACTGCTGCATATATATTATCCATCCCAATTGTAACAATATCATCGTCATTTTCACTATCTGTTCCTGGTGTAGGGCCATGGGATGTGTACTTTGAGATGTATTCCTTCCCCTTGGAATAGCACATGGCACACTATCAGAATGCATGTTTGTCGTATAAATTGACGCTTCACTGGAGAATATTCCTCTTCACTGTCACTACTGGAATTGTAATCAAGAGCTTGGAAATCACAATCACTATCATCACTACTGCTTACATCCGAGTCCTGGACACGGGAAAATATGAGTTCCCTCTTTCGCTGTGATACAACTGAACATGAACAAGACAGGCCAGCACTAGAGGTGGAAGGTTGAGGTTCATCTGGGTTTTCAGCACCATTTCTGGTATCCTGGGCATTCCTGTCACTCATAAACTCCTCAAAACCATGAAAGAGTCCCAATTCGCTGGGAAGTGAGGTATTTTTTACTGCGAGGCATGGTGAACAAGGTCTACTGAAATGTCATTCACATAATGCACCACTGGCTTCCTGATATTTTTTATACTGTGCACACTGAGCACGAAGACCCATTCTCTCAAATGTAGGTCTACCAGCTTTCTCCCGCTAGATCTGAAGCCGCTAGAATTTTGGCGTAGTATTATGGGACCAACACTGGCTTGCAAGCCGTAATATTACGGGACTGACAATGAAAGGGTTAATGTCACCTTTGTACCATTTATAACATTTCTGGTATAATTTTAAATGTTCATAAAGTAGTGTACTGTATAATGTAATAAACATAATAGAGGAAATCAGCTCTAGTATACATTACAGTGATACCCCGAGTTTCGTACAGCTCCCAACTCGAACAATTATGTAAATGTATTATTGTAAGTGCTTTTGTAAGTGTATTTATGGGGGTCTGAAACGGACTAATCTAATTTACATTATTCCTTATGGGAACAAATTCATTCGGTAACGGTACTCAAACAGCCTTCTGGAACGAATTATGGCCGAAACTCGGGGTACCATTGTACATGTATTTAGGTATGCACACTGGTCAGAGAGCCTGTCGTAAGTCAGAGTTGTCAGTAACCGAGTACATCGCTAAGTGAGGAGAGGCTGTATTTCGATAATATTCCTTCCCTTCTATTGGCTGAGTACAAGAAAATGCCCATTTACCTATTTCGACTACACAAAATTAAAAAATTGCCAGTTTAAAAATAGGGTCCAGAATAAACAGTGTAGACATCCTGGCACTAAAAAATATTTCCTCTGTTCACTAGTTATGTCCCTAGACCTCTCTTATATTACACTTTTTTTTCCATTTTGAATTTTTATTCACACAAAAAATAAAAGATTTATGCAGACTACTGCATTATTGTAATAACTGTATAAACAATGTCAGTGCATTCCTAAGTGTATATAAGACTGGCCAACTGGACACATATTGGGCGCATGACGTCATTTGTTACTCTGGAATATTGGCAAAAACTTAACATTTCCGCTACTTTGAGCTTAACTTCCATTCTATCAAATGAGACTAACAAACCAAGAATACAACCATAAAAACTATATGAAAATACACCACCAAATTGCTATTTTAACCCGTAAACAGTCCAAGCAGATCTACGTTCACATGTGTAGTGCTACAAAAGTAGATCTACGTGTTTTTTTTTACATATTTTCAAATGTAACAAAAAAAAAGTAGATCAAAGTTTTTTTTACACATTTTCAAATGTAAAAAAACAAAAAGATCTACTTTTTTTACATACTTTCAAATGTTGAAAAAAACGTATATATACGTTTGGACCGTTTACGGGTTAAACCAAAAAGTCACAGTTTTTCCCATTATGCACTGCTTGCTGCAGGATTTTTTTTATATGGTGCACACTTACCACAGAGATCCATTCTCTTATCTCTAGGCCCAAATTTACTGCTCACAGCTTATCTGAGTGAGCTGAGCTCATAGCGTAGAACTACAGGACTGACCCTGGCTTCAAAGCCGTAGTACTACGCCTACAGGACTGACCCCAAAAGGGTTAAGATAAATAGTGAATTTGTTGCTCATCTTTTTACCTTTTCTATTAGTTAAATACTAAAAAATTTATATGACAAACTGTTGAAAATGAGAGACTTTCCATATCTGAATACATGTACTGTACTGGAATGAGTTTTACTCTGTATTTTGACAATTATATATTATTTTTCTAAGTTAACAAGTACAATTTCAAATCAGACATTATTCTACTATAGTATATAAAACTAAAGTCAACAACTAACCTGCCATCTTGAATATTTTGATATATCTTCTTTGCTGTCTCCAAGAAAGCTTCTTCAACATTTTCACCTCTGAAATATAATCATGATACTTTAATTAGCAAAATGTAATGTGAAAATATGGCAAAAGGATGAAAAAATCTAAAAGCTTAAATCTTATTTCCTCCCAGAGATACCCCTTTCTTTAAGGGGGTGATTTCATATACGAATTTATGATATTTCAGATGTCTTTATGTGGAAAACCTATTTAATTTGATGGAATAACTTTGCATTGACGCTATCTGTGGAGACAAAGAACATTATCCACGAAGGCAAAAAAAGGGGAATGTACATGAGTATTATAGTGGTACCAACACTCATGTGGGTGTAAAGCATGGGTTTTGAATGTTGCGGTGAGAAGACAGCTGGCAGCAGTAGAAATATCGTGTTTGGCATGATAATTATTCAGAGAATTCAGAGTTTGGAGATTAAGAGGTGTGGAGTTATCAAAGAGATTGTTCACAGGGCTGAAGAGGAGCTGTTAAGATAGTTTGGACATTTAGAGATGGAGACAAATACAGATTAGGAGGGCATATTTAATCTGGGGTGGAGGGGTTGGGGGGGGTTATCCTAGGAAAGGTTGGATAGAGGGGAGTAAAGGTTTTGAGTGCTAGGGGCTTGGGCATCAAACAAACTTATCTGAGCTTGTTGGAAAGGAGTGAACGGAGGCATGTGGTTTTTGTATTTTGATATGTTGATGGAACTTGAGTTCTGGAGGTATAATAATGATAATAATAATATATTTATTTCTACAAGTACATGTACAAGGTACACAGGCCTAGCTGACATCAATGACATACTACTACACAGAAAGCCACTTGTTATGCAGAGCATTTCAGGCAAATTAAGTCAGTTTTGTCCCAGGATACAACCTACACCAGTCATCTGACACCGAGGTACCCATTTTACTAATGGGGAACATAGACAACCGGAGTAAAGAAACACACCCAATGTTTTTACCCTCGCCGAGAATCAAACCCGGACCCCCCTCACCATGTGAAGCGAGATCTTTAGCCACCAGGCCATGGGGCACCACGGAGATAGGAGGGCTGGGGACATTGCAGTCTGAAGGGTCATCTAAATTGTAATGAAAGTGCACTTCTGGCAAGACAGCGATTGAATGAGTGAAAGCGTTTTCTTCTTTGTCGAGTTACCCTACCTAGGTGGGAGATGGCTCGAGTGTAAAAAAACAAAATACTAATTATAAATAATAATTTCTCTCCATGGGGAAGTGGAACAGAAATCTTCCTCAGTAAGCCAAGCATGTTGTAAGAGATAATTAAAATGATAGGGGCTAGTAACCCCTTCTCCTGTATTTATATGTAGTACTCTGATAATTATACTTATGTGTACCTGTACCTAAATATACTTACACACTGTGCTGGTGTGCAGGTACACATTAAAATCGCTAAGAATCTCTCTACTTATGATGCCACAGTAACACTACATAATAATAATCACTCTTGGGCACAATAAATGTGTTATTTTACATTAGTATAGATATTTTCAGTAGTCCAGCTATGATATTTTCTTCAAAATTATATAAGAAACATGTTACATAGCATATAAAAATGATACATACACTCACAGAATAAAAATTGACGTAAATATGAGATTTGTTTACAAAGCAGCTGTGTAGGTAGTGTTAGAAGAATTATGTTTTCTCTAGTCAAACTGGGGGATAACTGTAGAAATATATTCCTTTCATATGCCTTCACTCTATATATAGCAATTCACGACCCTTGTGGGTTTAGCGCTTCTTTTTTATTATGACATTAATAATAATAATAATAATAATATCACCATCATTCACTTTAAAAATGATGTGTTGTATGAGAATGGGAGTGTTGCTGTTTGTTTAGTCTGTACTAACTTGTACAACTTGTACACAATGTAAGAGTATTTGTATTGTGAGGTAAAAGTTTTACAAACTCTTACAAACGTACATGAATGAACTAAAAGTAGACACATTAATACGCATTTATTTCGCCTGACCAAGTGATTGCCCACTACCTGTTCAGTGTTCTTACATTGTCTGAACTCTGTATCTTGTTCTCTCTCTCGTTTACTCTTTCGTTAACTAGTTGGCTCTCATTGACGATAGCGTCTAAGCTTAGGTGTGATAAAAAGAGGAGTCGTAAGCCTCTTGCTTTAAGTGCCAAGTTAGAAATGATTAAACTGAGTGAACATGGTATGTCTATGACTGAGATAGCACGTAAGCATGGTTTGGCTCGTCACACAGTTAGTACAGTTGTGAGCAATAAGGAGAAAGTGTTGCAGGAAATTAAAAGTGCTACACCAGTGAACACTAAAGTTATAAGAAAACGTGATAACTTTATTGGTGACATGGAAAAACTTTTAATGGTGTGGACTGACGATCAGACTAGTCCCAATGTGCCTTTAAGCCGAGCCATTATCCAGTCCAAGGCCCTAAGTCTCTTCAATTCTATGAAGGCTGAGAGAGGTGAGGAAGCTGCTGAAGATAAATTTGCAGCTAGCAGAGGCTGGTTTAATAGGTTTAAGGAAAGAGGTCAACTTCACAACATCAGAGTGCAGGGTAAAGCTGCAAGCGCTGACAATTTAGCTGTAGAAAATTATCCACATCAGCTAGCCGAGATAATAGAATGTGATGGATATACCAAGCAACAGATTTTTAATGTGGATGAAACTGCATTATTTTGGAAGAAGATGCCGTCTAGGACATTTATTGCTAAAGAAGAGAAGTCAATGCCTGGCTTCAAAGCCGCAAAAGACAGGTAACACTCTTGCTAGGAGCTAATGCAGCTGGTGATTGCAAGTTAAAACTATGATGATTTATCACTCAGAGAATCCTAGGGCCCTAAAGAACTATGCAAAAGGCAGCCTCCCTGTTTATTATAAATCCAATTCAAAAGCTTGGACGACTGCCGATCTTTTCATAAATTGGTTCACGGACTATTTTAACCTTACAGTTGAAGCTTACTGCAAGGAAAAGAAAATTCCTTTTAATGTTTTACTTGTTTTAGACTATGCCCCTGCCCGCCCTACAGCTCTACATGGTATGTACAAGGAGATAAATGTTGCTTTTATACCTGCAAACACAACTTCATTACTGCAACCGATGGACCAAGGTGTAATTGCAGCCTTTAAATCTTATTACCTAAGAAGAACTTTCATTAGGGCTGTAAATTTCCTAGACAATGAAAAAATGCCAGGACCTAAACAAAATAAATAAAAAACCTTTTGGAAAGGTTTCACTATTTTGGATGGTATTAAAAATATTAGAGATGCATGGAATGAAGTTAAAGAAACTACACTCAAAGGTGTTTGGAAAATCTAATTCCTGAACTTATGGACGATTTTGAAGGCTTTGAGAATCCAGTGGATGAAGTGACTGTAAATGTTGTGGATATGGCAAGAGATTTAGAATTGGAAGTGGAGCCTGAGGATGTGAAAGAATTGCTTCTTTCTCATGATGAGCCTCTAACAGATGAAGATCTTCTCATTGAAGAGCAGAGAAAGAAGTTTCATGAAGAGGAGATCCATCCTGATGATAGTCCTGTTGCCATTAAAGAAATGAAAACCCAGGATTCAGAAGAAGCTATTAACTATATAGAAATAGCAATGACAATTTTTGAGAAAATTGATCCAAATTTTGAACTAAGTTCAAAAGTGAATGCATCCCTTTCCCATGGTGTTACATGCTATAAAGAAATTTTAAGGGAAACGAAAAAAAAATCCCTGAGGCAAAGTTCAATGCTTTCCTAATTTACTAAAGTATCATGCAAACCTTCAACATCAACAGTTAGCCTTGAACAACCTGCAACATCAACAGCTAGTCTTGAACAACCTTCAGCATCAACATCTGGTCTTGAACAACCTTCAACATCAACAGCTAGCCTTGAACAGTCTTCAACATCAACAGCAACACACACTCCTTCAAGAGCTTCACACAAGTCTCCAAAATGAATAAAAGTTGAAGAATCAGATGATGTACCATCTGATTTTATTCAATAAACACCCTGCTACTCACCTCTCACACAATATAAATATTTTAAGGTAAGTAATAAGTGTACTCTGTGTGTATCTTACTTTTTATTGTGTTTTTAATGCCTATTTCTATTGCTAACTTAATATAAGTTAGTGTAAACTTGTTGTCTGGCATTTATAGCATATTTTATATGTGCTCTGATAATAATACTTGTGGAGCTGTGTGGTAGCCGGGCGAAGGGATAACATTACGTTTTCTCTGCTCAGCCATCAGAGAAAATGTGTATGAATCTGCATTTGGGCGAGCCACTCCCCCATTCCGCTTTTGTTTATAATTTTCGGCATGAATTATTCATTACTTCTCCCTTCGTTTATGATGGCATCTAAAGGTAGTTGTTAAAAACGATTAAATTCAGTGAACAAGGTATGTCGATGCTAATAATATGGCTCTGGGCCACAGTGTAGGTAACTGGTAGGTGTAGCCCAGGCGGGCTACACCTACCGGCCACCTACACTGACTTCCTACAAATAAATACTACTCGCCTTTCTTCCTACATTAAGACTACACATACTTTAAGGTAAATAATGAGTGTACTGTATGTGTACTTTAACTCTCTGGGCTGTTTTAAAATATCATAAATTAAGTATGAAACAGGGAGCCAGGGCTACCTACACCTGACTTCCTACAAATAAGTACTACTCACCTCTCACCCTACATTAAGATTACAAATACTTTAGGGTAAGTAATGAATGTACTGTGTATGCATCTTACCTTTTACTGTGTTTTTAATGCCTAGTTCTATTACTAACTTAATATAGTTTAGTGTAAACTTGTTTTCTGGCATTTTTATGTATTTATATATGGAAAAAATGGCGTTCTGCTTTCCAGCGATGTCTGCTTTCCGGCAATAGCCTGGAACCTAACCCGCCGTATAAGTGAGGCCCTACTGTAAATGTTACTATACTATTTAAAAGGAGAAACTTTCCTTTTCCCTTCTGAGCCATCCAGCCTCGGTGGGATATGGCCAGTTCGTTGAAAAAAAAAAAAAACTGTGAAACAAGGA